TGTTCGAGGGGTCTTCTCTTTCACCAACCTTCTTCTTGGCATCGAAAACTCGGCGTCGAAAATGAAGCCGGAGTGCCCCTTTAACTTCCCCTTTAACTTGTATAAAAACTTCTTTTTCTTTTCTTTCCAACGTCTGCCCATGGCGCGCGTCCTTCTCTCAGCTCGTCAACTGTCAACAGTTTTTTTGTCATCACCATGACACTGTTGCGAGAAAGTGCTCTCTATATCTATAGACGGGGTTGGTGATGTCCCCACCAACCCCGTTACCATGGTTACGTCGAGAGCACCTTCTCGGGGGTTATGAACTTATGTACTCTTGCTACTACTGCCGCCCTACTACCAGTACTAGTACACAAAGGCACACAATGAAAACCTTGGCAAATTAATTCCGTTGTCAAGGTTTTCATTGTGTGCCTTTGTGTACGCCGCTCTGCCTGAATCAGGCATTGAGCACTCTTGCAGAACCAAAGCATATTGCCTCTGTACTACTGGTTGTGTTTCTCAACGCAATTGTATAGCCGGTGGTAACGCGGACGTGCAAACTTTACTTTTTTTTTACTAGTAGTAGTAGTAGTATATTATAAATATAATACGAGAGGGGGAGAGAGCCGCGATGATCATTCACCCCACTGGTGTTTTCGACTTCGGCCCGGCCCGGTGTGGCGTGCCGGCAAGGAAACCACTAATCATGTATTTCTAAAGTCGCTGACACTCAGTGACGGTGCGTTGGCCCTTTGTTTGGGAAGTTTGGTTGTTGGCGAAAACCAGGACTTGGTTGGTGTACTGTATTCTGCCGTGATCATGGTGATGGGTAAGCTACGGACCCGGGTTTCCGACTTCCGTTTTGACTGCTACAAGTCAATGCTAGCCATGCCAATGGCAATGGGCAGTCACTGCCCTGTACTCTAGGCTGTAGTCTCTAGCTCTGCAGCCAGTGCAGGGCCTCTTACATGTGCACTGAGTCTGTACTGTAGATCTACCGTGCATGTACATAACATAATCATTGTGCATTATACACTGTACATCCGCTGCATTCTGGACTTTAGTCTACCTGGAATCCCTTTCCAGCATATTGCCGCCGGCTGTGTTGACTTGGGGCAGAGGTGTGCGTTCGCTTTTCCATGGCAGCAGGCCATTTGGGGAACCGAACGGTTTCTTGTCGCAAGTAACTACTTTGAGGGGTTTATCCGTTCTCAAGTACTAGTACTTGTAGTAGTGCTCAGAGTCAGACAATGGATACTACAATAGTACATTGTACAAACTAACTTTACAATAATTATAGGAATGTTGTAGCTGCTACAAGCAGTCGAGCACTACTGAATTCCATGACTGTAGATCTACAGAGTACAGTACATGTACGTGAGGTGTATTCCACCGTTATGCGAATTTCATTATCATGCAGTTGAGATGCATTGGCAAAGTCGCGGCACAGCGATGCACTAGCGACTAGCTCTTTGACTTTGGCCCTGTTTGGGCTAGTACATAGCGCCCATAAGCGGTTCCACTGTAATAATTAGCAAGGTTCTCGCCAAAACTTTAAAGCGACATAGCTGGGCGCTGCACCCTCCTTCACTTTTTGTTTGACCGCTCCCTTTCAAAATGAATGCACCACCCTTCAGAGTGCTAGCACCTTTTATGATAAGTACGCATCATGTAGTACCACAGCATAAATTGGCGTCACAAAAAATGGCGGTAAAATCACAACATTTTGGGTCCAATGATCCCCGCCCTTCTTCATTTTTGTTCAGGCTCTAACCCTGGTTAGCACCCATCAGCGTTTCTGGAATTATGTGTCGGTTTATGACTTCTTTCGCAGAACCTCTATACTATAGTAGACTATAATCATGTACATGTACACGTGTTCTGAGGTGCAGACGTGCAGTACTGAGTATGGATGATATTGTATCCAGCGTAAATACTTTGTAAGCTCCCATCTTACAACTTACAAGTGGCATTGCATGAGAAACTCGGAATTGCAAAAAACTCTAGAAACCTCCCGCGTGCCCTTTTGTTTGTAAGCTCCCAGCTTATGAAGTACATGACTGTAATTACTAGTACTACAAGACATGTACATGTACGTGTAGACGTAATAATTATTTATCTAATAAAACCATACAGTCACGTACAATATCGATATATATCATGTAGATCCCACACAGGGTTAGACCTGCTGTGGCTTTCGGTTTTCCATTGATCTGCTGTGGCTGGAAGGTTGCTTCGTAATCGTAGTCTACGTACCGGTGCCACTGAACCACTGTACTACGTGGCTAGGTTGAAAGGATTCACATCCGATTACACTTCGGAGCTCCGGCTTCGAATGTGACAGTGTCACATTCTCCGCACTCCTCGTGTAACTCAGATTCCACATCAGACTGCAAGCAGTCCTTGCGGAATCTTCAATTCAGTTCTGAACTCTAGTCTGATGACCTTTGCGCTCGATTTCTCACTCTTGCCAAGGCCCAGTGTTGCCTAAGAGACAGTGCAGTACTGAGTCACGGCACGATGCTGTGATAGTAAGGGCGCGTTCGAATTGTCACTCTTTGACTTTTCGAGGAGTTTCGTTTTTCTGAAGAGGTGGCCTAATTGGCCCCTTCAGAAAAGCGGAACTCCTCGAAACTCCACAACCTCATCCGATGAGAGAGGTGGATTAGTTCCGAAGAGTTTGGAATAGCTACGTCGAGATGGTCGATCTGATCGGACGTCATTATCGCCATGACAATTCCACTGAAAAACTCTATGATAGAAACCGTTCTATTGGGACACTTCAACTACAATCATAAATCTGTTTTTTTAATTGTTTGAAAAGTTGATGAAGACGAACACCCCCTAAGCCCGTAGCAAGGATGATAGATCTACATGACTTGTACATGACTGTATTATGTAGAACACTCAATGTTCTACTCTCTCACTAGTGGTAGGTCTACATGTATACATGTATCATGAATTCATGATTACAATCATGACTTTGTAGCTAGCAGAAGCACCCGAAACCAGCCACTGCCACTGGATATACATGTAGTGCCATACAGTCATGTAAGTGGCAATGATGGGTCTTCGACTCTTCATGTACATCATACATGACTGTAGATCTGATCATCTGACTGTACATTGTACCAGTTGTACAGTCATGTACGTATGGAATCGAGCATGAGTACGAGGACGAAAGTGCGGAATCGGAGCCCGAAGCGCGCTAGCGCGGAGGGCTCCGATTCTAGCACTTGAGTCCGAGTACGAATGCTTTGATACCATTTCTGACATGCATTGCACGAACTACTTCGTAGGTCTACTACTACCGGTACTAGTACTACTACATGTAGTACTTCACACATACCTAGTAGATCTACCTACTCAAGGCACGCACACTAGACCAGACAAGGAACACAACTAGTCGCCAGTTTAGTACTTCAGACATGTTACATAATGACTAATGTACACAGTCACAACACAGAGATAAAACAAGGGCGGTCTAGTCAGCTAAAAACCAGGTCAGTTCAGCTTCTCTTCTTCGCAGTGACTACAGCCTACAGCCTACAGGTGCAGGTGAACATTGCAGTTTGCACCAAACTGAGCTCCGGAAAAGTTGATGGTCTTCGTAGCTTTCTGCATCAGAGACCGTTGGTGAGTTGGGGATTGCACTGTTGGGTCACAAGTTGCGATGTACTCATCAATGTCGGGATCGTGGAACTCAGTCTGCTGCTGTGATCGCTGAACGCTCGTTGTTGGCGCTGTAAGAGCACGGGTAGCAGCATTGGTTGCAGTTGGAGACTCTCCATCCAGAAAAAAAAGCGGCCTCTGATGGCTGAATCGGAGCACGCCTAGGCGTGCTCCGGAGCACGCCTGGGCGTGCTCCGATTGGAAAATCGGAGACCTGCAAGCGCTCACAGGTCTTCAGTGGCTGATTCAAAGCACGGCAAGTCGCGCTAGGATTCGCTGTTGCCATGTCGATTGTCATGTGACATATCAGAAATAATCATTGTACATACAGTGAAACCTGTCTGCTCAAGTCAAGGGACCTTCAAAGTGTGGTCTCTGTAACCAGGTGGTCTCCTGATCTTGACTAGAAATAGCATCCCTTCATTCAACGGGCTTGTGTCCTGGCGCTGGCTGCAGTGGTCTTCTGGGACAGGTGGTCGCCTTATCCGAGTGGTCGCCTTGACAGGTTTTACTGTACTGGATCATGGACCCCGACTGCCCGAGTCTTCCCCGCTGTAGATTGATCGATTTGTGTCTGGTCACTGCACTAGGTGTCGTTATTCATAAAATACTCGGCATTCAAGCCGCTAAACTAAAGACAAGTAGATAAGACGACTACACCGTGCTACTACTTACTGAGTACTAGTAGCAGTGCATACAACAAAATCATTGTGCGCACTGGTCTGCAGCCCACGCGGTTGCACTCGACCAGATAAGACCAAATAAACCAAGACTCGTACTCTTGGCAAGAGTACATAACCCATGTGCTGTCTTGGTGAAACGCTGTGATTCACGTGTCGTTAAACGTTACCGTAGTGCATCAACTGAACTGAACTACAGTACTACAGCCTAAAACCTTGAAATCTCCGTCCGAGACAAGGCCAGAAAAGCTTTGAGGACTCGTTAGGAGTAGGAAATGACCAAGAATGGCAAGCTACTCTATGAATATGATGACATTGAACATTCTAATGATTCTACATGACTTTATATGACTTTATATAAATTATATAAGTAGGGAGCTCTTCTACTAGTACTAGTATTACTACAGTGTACATGGTGTAGTAGTAGATCTACCATGGTCTACCATGATCTACCATGGTCTACCAAGGTCCATGGTCTACTGTCAGGCATGCAGACTTGCAGAGCGGTTTCACTGGTTGTGGCCGTTTGTGTCAGACTCAGACTCAGTCAGAGTGTAGATCTCCTGTGCACATGATATGTGTAGGTCTACGATCATGCATGACTTGTACTAATTATGTAACTAATGTTACTTGTAAGGAGTGCGGAGTGTATGCAGTCAAGTCGACCCGGTCACGGGTCAGGCCTGGCAAGTCCAGTGTTCCATGGACCATGGTGCACATGGCACGAGTCACAAGTGCCCTTTCACGCTCAGCCCGTGCGAGAACTGTCAAGCGAAACGAGCCCTACAATGCAGTTTTGCTACCAAGAATGGATTGTTTGTGAAGCTGTTTTCCCTAATCTAGTCATTGGATTTCTAGAATAGTGCGCTAGGAACCTAGCGGTTGCAGTGTGTCCCTGACCGTGTATTTGGAGAGCCTGGAGTGGAGCTGATGCGCTTGTGTCCAGACGCTGGTAAGGACAATAGATGTTTTGGGAATTCTGAGTAATTACACAGCAGGGTATTGAAATGTCTCGTTGCTAAGTAATAGTAATGTTGTAGTTAGAAGAATGATACTTTGATGGTCTTGTTGCTGCAGACTAAAAATACATAACATGAACTCTTCTTTGCACCCCGAGGAAACACAATGGTATGATCACAGCCAAATCGTTGACATGCTGTGTTATTCCGTGGCCCGGCGGCTGTTCTTTGGATTAGCCTAGTATCGATGTCTGTATGGGACTGTTTTGTTTTGGAGAAGGCAAACAATAAGCTAATGCAACGGCAGTGCTTGTGCATCGGCTGTCTTGCAAGTAAAAGTAAAACATACTGAAGTCCTTTGTGGAGCATCAGGGAATTCAATGACTCTTGTCCGTTGTGGGTGTTGTTTGCTTTCTGGCTTCGCCCACCAGACATGCTGCGCACCGGGATCGCCCTTACTTGACCCCCTGTGACTTTCGTGTATTTCAATGTTGGAAAATCTGATGCCGGATCTAGAACGAAGAACGCATCTCGAGCTGAAGATGGCAGAACCTTTCTTCATTCTCCACATTGTATCGTTTCAAAAATGGGTAGCGATTATTTGCATTTTGGAAATAGATTCGACTTGGTGTGGAAGTCAATGCAGTAGGCTGTGTGAGCGTTCCTAGCCTGGGTCATATCTAGTGTGTGGAGTCTTGTCAAAATACCGCTCGTCGTATGTGATTGGGCGTCCGCTGGGCAGACGATTATTTCCCGTCGTGTCGGATTTACTCAGTTTCTGTGAATCGCTACTGCAAAGCAGATGGTGGAGCAGTGTTGGAGCGTAGGGAAGACGTTACTCTGCTGGGTCCCGTGCTGCGTCTAGAGATTGGATACAGTGACATTGAGGCTTGACGGCTTTTACAGCATCGAATCGAATGTGCATGTCTTGTGTAAGTGGCAATTGTACCAGTACTAACTGTTTGTACTACAGAATGACTTGTGTATGTGTCAATCTACCACGTGTGCTCTTGTCCACGTGTAGGTCAACCATACTCCTTACTGCTTAGTCCCTCCTGTGGTGACGAATACTAGTATCCATTACATTCTAGCATTATTTTAGGAATTTGGCAATGTTACACTGTCACCTGGTCACTGGTACAAGGACAGCACACTCCAGACAAATGATTCTAAAATAAATGGCAGTTGTGGGCGGTTGACTGTATTCTTCAGTACTGCCACTGGTCTGAAGTAGCGGAATGCTGTCCTCTAAAGGCTCTATGCAACACCTGCTGGCAGTGCTGCCCCTTTATTGCCTAGCTCATTGTGTAGTTTTTATGGCATGCTATTGTACATGTGTGTGTGTGTGTGTGTGTGTGTGTGTGTGTGTGTGTGTGTGTGTGTGTGTGTGTGTGTGTGTGTGTGTGTGTGTGCGTGTGTGCGTGTGTGCGTGTGTGCGTGTGTGCGTGTGTGTGCGTGTTTGTTGTAAACCTTGTGATAGCAGTGGTCAGGGAAAGCTGCAAAGGTCTGGTGTGTGAAGACCATGCCAGACTAGCACAGTCTGCATGACAAATCCAATCTTTCTGATCAGTCTTGCTCAATGAAATCTGGTCATGTGAGTCAATGTCATGCTGGACACTGTCCAGACCCAGACCTGCGAATCATGACCGGGCTGTGCACTGGTGCTGAGCGCAAATAATTTAATACTTTATTCAAGCAATTGGACATCACTGAGCAGGACTGTACGTAACCATGCCAATGGTGTAGTGTGTGTGTGTGTGTGTGTGTGTGTGAGAGAGAGAGTGTGTGTGTGTGTGTGTGTGTGTGTGTGTGTGTGTGTGTGCGTGTGTGTGTGTGTGTGTGAGAGAGAGAGAGAGAGAGAGAGAGAGAGAGAGTATGTGTGAGTGTGTGTATGGGGGGGGGGGGGGGGTGTTCATAAACACGACAGAAAGAAACAATTCCCATATACATGTATAGCACTACAGTGATGCCTGGGGAACAGCAATCATCCGATCTGATGTGAGTTGTGCCATTACTGGCTGTTCTGTGCTCAGGCTGTGGTCATGTGGGCTTTGTGCCCTGTGGAAACCACCTGACTGCCGAATGTAATCGTAGTGCACATAAGTTTAGCTATTTAGCTAAGGCTAGACATGCCCCTGCTGCGTCACCATGATCACCTTCCTTGAGCGTAGCTGTGTAGTGCTGTCTGTCTCTGCCATGAAGAGCACATCTGATCTCTCGGTATGTGCATGTACTTTGGCGTTGTGTGGCTGCCCGGACCAAATCCATGTCCATATGCAATAACTGGTGCCCCAGTGGTTATCAGCCCACACACGCTGATCAAAATGAGGTGGTTGGGAAGGAATGTGAGCCGTCGCGCTGGGAAAAGCTGTCAGCCGGCATGGTTGCGTATTCGCAAGCCAGTTAAAACCATGCAATGGTGGCCATGGAAGTCTGCAGCATTTTGTAGGGCATGATGATCAGCCATTATAGCAGCATTTGTGTTTCGGGCATAGTCATAAGGAAAATGGACATCAGCATAGGGTTGCACCTCCTACGCATTGTTACGGAGTATAATGCACAATTGGGGAAATTACGCATGAGCAAAGTTCATGTGTCAATTGAATGACACTTGCCAGAAGCTTGTAGGATCATGAAGTGTGGTGCTGGAATGCTGGAATGCGGAGGCTATTGAACTTCCCGGTGATGTCGATAAAAGGAAGCATCTTCTATGTATATGTGATCTCAATGTTCATGGTGTGTGACCTGGCTTCCTGGCATGAGAAGGAAGTTGCCTGGCTGGATCCGACACATGCATGTGGTGTGTCGGGGAACGTGATCATGTCCGAATAGGTCATCTCTGCGCTCTACTTGCCAATCCCACTCTTCTTCCGGTTCACCAGTTCAGTTTGTGTGTGCAAACATACATGTAGTCGCCACATTATTAAAATTTACAATGCAGTAGGCATAGCATGGCCCGAGTGTGGAGTTTTGAGCGGATGTGCTGAGTTCCTGTTGTAAATGAGCTGTGTGTATGATTTGATCTGGGGTTTTCGTGCAGTGGCAGAATATTTCTGTCGGAGCATAATCTGCCCCCACCCGCCCATACTGTCCACATTCGTGTTTTGTGTAGTTAGTAAATCGAGAGAGGTTTTCCTCTGGTCACGTACTTGTGTGGTAAAGGCAGATCTTCGGAAATGTAGGAATGAGAAGTTCAGTTTTCAAGGACATGTACTTGGGTTCAGTGGTGCACCAGAGATGCTATTCCTACTTGCCAGGCCTGAATGCCCGTTCTCTTGGATTGTCTGAAAGTAAATTTGGCATGTTTTGGGCCCCGTCTAACACGTTAATCTGTGAAAACTGGGTTGGTCTTTGATGTACCTGTGGCCAGAGTTGCGAGGAAATCATGTTTACTGCCCGGAGCGTTTCAATTGATGTTACGCATGCAAGCAGGCGGCCTACATCACGCGATGGGCCTGACCTGAAAGAGATGCTTCTTCGATCTGGACTCATTGAATAAGGAGTACCTGGGTTAAATAAGGAGCCTCAGCAATGTGCTTGTCATGGGTTTTGCTGGCGTGTTTATTAGTGCGTGGGAGTGCCATGTCTTTTGTTGCTACTTCAAGTCTGTGAATGGCCATGGTACGTGGTGTTGCCGCAGTGGTAAAATGGTCGCTAGGGTATTGTAAGAACAACACACAACCATTGGTATGTTGTTCCTTGGGATGTGACTGGTGGGCACCATGTACGGCTGAAGGATACCAATATGTACATGTAGGCCTTCGTCTCACTACATCAGAATTTTCACCATTGACACCGCAATGTTCGATGGTCCTTTTTAAAGTTCCCTGCCGTTCTTGGGTTGCCTGGGAAATCCCCTTTTGGACGCTACTGCTGCATTTCTAAACTGAGTGTGCCCGCGGGCTTAGTCAGTGTGTGCGTACACTGGATATAGGACAGGTTCTTATCACTGTACCAACCACATGCAGCAGTCCCTGTTGTTGACAGGCGAGGGACATGTCAGGTCCGTGCGATTAACGTTGGGTGCTAATTTTGTGCAATCTGCAATGCCGCAATGTTACTAGACATGCTTGATAGCGGTGGTGTGGCCTGAAGCACATGCAGGGTTGACACATTGACGGGTCGGGTGTCTGACAGGTGGTATGATACTGTGAAATTTAGACACCTGTCGTTGCCCTGGACAGTGGCATGTATTCAAAGCAGCTGGCAGTAGGACACAATGTGGGTGGTTAGTGTACTTGTGAATGTTACAACCGTTTGGAGTTGGACCACCTCTTGTTACGTTCGGTACACTTCAAATGCGCACTTATACTGGACTAGCGAACTTCTAGTTCCCCATTCATCGCCGGGTGTTGTAACTTGAAACTGCAGCCTGATTCAGTTGGAAAAGTTTTGCTTGATGGGAGCATTCTATCATCATGTTGGTTGCCGGGCCGTGTTTTGATTATTTTGTGTCTGTGTATTAGTACTGTACTGTGGTCAAACAGGTCCTGTGCTGCATGCGTATAAGATCCCGGCTGAGTCTTTTTGAATCTTACTGTCCGCCTTCCTGTATTTTCTGCTCTGCTTTCCCCGAAAATAACTGGCTGAATAGAAGAGCACTGTGAGAAGTAATTTCGAGGCATCTTGCAGCTTCATCTGTAGAAAAGTAATTGGGTGGACACACCCATTCCCAAAGAACTGTTCCGAACTGAACCAATTCTTACCATGAATGGAACATAAGGCAACACTTACGAAGTACAGTGTATGCGGTTGTATGGCAATCTAGTCAGCATGCACAACTAGTTACATTCTAATGAGTGAGTGTCGTGGACTGATTGGTGACTGATCTTGTGTCTATGATTGTGTACAGTGGGTGGTGCTGGAAGGTGATCAGGCAAATGGCCGCCATGGTTAACGGTACAGAGTCCCTGCCCAGGAACTTCCGCAATCGAGCCGGTAGCGAAAAGAAGAAAGGTGGTCTCTTCAGTAGCTTCCGCAAGAAGAAGGCCAATCGGCAGCCCATTCCAAGTCAGTTTGTGACCGAGGAACAAAAGAATGAAGAAGACAACTTCGCTATCAACAAGCTGGCAATGGATGATTTTGAGTGTGACTACAGGGAGAATGGCCATGAAGGCAAACCGGAATCCAAAGCATCTGTGTCTGGCGAGGAGTCGCCGCTCACCCTTCGAGATTCTTCTCAGCCAGACCTCAAGTACGCTGTTGTCAGTGGAGCAGCGCTGCCACAGAGGCTGGTTCCACGGCGTGATGCGGATGTGTTCAAGCCGGGTGACCGGTCACCACGCCGCTCCTTTCTACCACGTCCCTCCTCGTCAGTGTCATTATCACATTCAATGTTGGACACATCATCCATAGCGTCATCGCCAGGCAGTGATGGCTCTAGTCAAGTTGGATCACACTCCACTGTTCTTTTCTCGCCACCGCCAGGAGTACTGGATGCAGAGCAGGGTGATTCCGGCGATAGTATCACACCCACCCAGGATTTAGTAAACAATTCGTCATTCATTGAGTACGAGAGGCATCTATTTGTGAAGAGTGCTGTCCAGAGTGCGTGGAGCATGGAAGATCCGCTCAACGTCTGCATGCCCAAATTCGTGGATGATCTGGAGGCACCGAGTCCTCACCCGGAACCAGTGATGTCCGAGGGAGAGGTGTCGTCCGTAGGTGAGCTGACGGCCGACGAGCGGTCCCCGCTGAGCTCGGAATACGGCTCCCCGCTGCAGCAGCACAGTGAACTTGCCGACAACAAAGTCATCAACAACTACCGTGACGCTAAGCGCTTGTCAGGTTTGTGCCGCAGTCCTTCTGCTACCCCGGTTGACAGCGAAGAAGAGCATGGATCACCGCAGGTTCTCTCGCCCCACGCTAGCCTGCCATGCCAATCGATAGCGGAGCAGGCAGAGGATGCTACTCAGCACCAGAGAAAGAGTTATGATCATCTCGCGCAGAATGTAAGCTTGTCAGCACCCAACTCACCCTCACTGATGCAGCGGCGGCGGCAAAGCCTCAACTCGCCACGGCATGGCAGGATGGGTCGGTCGGTGCACAGCAGACCACATCTACTGGGGCCTAACCACCACCTGTCTACTGGCTCGCTGTCATCAGCTAGCTCTGCGGCAAGTATAGGCAGCGTGGAAAGTGTCGAGCTCACTCCAAGCCGGTATACCAACGGTCATCGACCGGTCGCACGGCTCTCGGGCAGCATTGCACAGCGGAGGGTGTCCACGTCTGATATTGCCAGCCTCGGGTCAGATGCAGGATCGGGGTCGCCATTCCGGGCACGATCACAGACCACTGGCTTCAAGACAAAGCTGGAGGTATCGATCAGTGACAGTGCTGCAACGCGCACAGCTGGACGGTCAGCACCCATGTCGTACGGAAATATCGTCAAACGCGGTGGCCATGTGCGCGTTAAATCAATGACGAAGATGAATTTGGCCGGTGATGGTTCGGATGCCTCTGTGCCTGCTCGGCCACGTAATCGATGCAGTGTCCCCACATCGCCATTCAGTCCTCTCCTCTCGCCTAGTCCCCAGTCAAAGTTTGTGCTGAACCCAAGCACCCGCTCGAGCAGCATCCACGTGGAGCCGTTCAGTCCAACATTTTGGACTCTCGAATTCAGCGTCGAGGTGAGTGACGTTAACAATAGCTTATCTGCATGGTAGAGCCTGCCCTGTTCGGACACCTCTTGCCCAAGTGAAGCTCTACATTCAGGATACCGCTTACAGCCCCAAGCCCCAATCGGTCCCTTGTCACTTGTTCTGTAGTCAGGACACCTGCCTGAGTGCATATGGGTCTGATCCCTGGGGGGGGGGGGGGGACACAAGGCAGTTTTATCTGACTACCAGGGTGTATGTAATTTGGAAGTACCATTGCATTACAATGTATTCAGAGTAGTGCAGTACTTAAAGTGGTGGTAAAGAATGCACCACATAGTATAGGGTCCTACCGCCGGTACCATTACTCTTCCAATATCATTTCCACTTTGAATGTCAACTACAGCTTGTGATGCTATTGTTCAGTATGGTTGAAGGAAGTGGAGGCAATTATTTACTTAGTGCAGTGATAATTGCGGCTGGCAAGCAGTTGTGCAGTGGAGGCATCAGCACACACACGCACGCACACACACACACACACACACACACACACACACACACACACACACACACAGTCACACCCACACACACACCCACACACACACACACATGCCATCATAATGAGTCTACTACTGACCCCACAATATCTCTTGTAAGTTGTACTCACTTGTATTGTGTATGTTGTGCATGTAGAAACGCGACATTGAATTTGTCTTACCCATCAAGTCGTTAATACGGATGCCAGTCTCAGGTAAGGATGCCGTTGATTTACATGATGTTCTGAACTGTTTAGTGTGTATATTTCTTGTGACGGCCAAAGAGTAACCTCGACAGCAAGTCAAAGTGCTCAACGTTTTAATATTTCTCCTGTATCTCTGTGCACTGCTGGCCATCATCTGCAGCCGTAGTCACAGTGTTGTTTCACAGCTTGGCCAATGAAACTAACAAGCCTGACTGCTTGTCATGAACTGTTTTTTGTTTTACTCCAGAATCACTTGTTGACAGGTTCTGGTGGATATACTAATAATTCTCTTGCAGAGCTTGCCCAAGGCATTATTGGTTGAATACTGGCTCTTGTACTTGTCTTTCTGCTCAGGTGGAAAGTCCATCTCTCAGGTGAAGTCAATGCTGTGGTCAAAGATGAGGTGAGCTGTGACTCTGTGCATGTAGTCTTCCGTGGTCGTCTGCAGATGTTGTCTCCCTTGGGTGTCTGGGGCAGTGCCGCATCATCCTACATCCTTTGCTTTTCTGCACAAAGCCGTTGTAGCTTCTGCTAGCCATTACATTTTGGGATAACCATGCTATGCCTAGGTACCTCTGAGAGGTGCTGTTTTGCAAGTAGTGAACGCCGCTGTGGTCTTGTTCCCTTTTTGCGTTTGTTGTCTTCAGTGATGAAGGTCTTCTGATCAGCTACCAGAACCTGAAGGACATGTCCCACTATTCGTTCAAGTACTACTACAACAATGACAAGTACGAGCTGTTTGATGAGCTGCAGATGATGTATCCTCCTCCACCTTTTACCACTGTGTTGTGAAATGCTCATGACTAGCTGCCCTGGTTCTGCCATGCAGGCAGCAATGAATAGGGGCTGGTTACAGGGATTCACGGTGATAAGTGACTTTCTACTGCATGGATGGCATGCTAATGTACGGGGTGTGCATTCGCAGCCAGCTATACAATGCATCACCAAACCTGGAATGAAGGGTGCATGTGTGTGGGGGGGGGGGGTGATTCAGAATGGCAAAGGCATGGTAATGTTGCTGTACCAATGTGTTAGTGGTTTCATATCTGTATGATGCATCCTGTACATCCCTGCACGCAGGTTTTGGGGCTTATCACGGATGCCAGCCAAAACAACCCTTGCCCCGTCAGGGTCCACTGCTTCTTTGGTTGACATATTCAAGCATGCATGTTAGATCAGCCTGCGAGCATGTCCGTAGCTGGTTAAGAATAGCCCTGCAGTATGCGCACTTTTCCCCAACCTTGAGTTGAAAAGTTTGAGTGTTTTCCTTCACTACAAGAGTTCAGGCAAACTCTACACATCTGGCAGACTTGGAAGAAGCACGGCATGCGAGTGGGCACCCTCATTGTGGAGCTACGGCGTGAACCGAAAGCCAAGGTATTGCTGCAGTGGCTGCTGCATCATAACTAACTAACTAACTAACTAACACAATGTAGTGACAGTACATGTACAGTGAGCTCATCAGTATTAAACGCATGTGGTGATGATGCAACGTGCATTACCGGTACTTGTACAGCTCAGGTATACACAAGAATGTAGTGCATGTACTATTCCCTGTTGCAAACTAGCCATGAAGCCTTAGGTGTGTGTATGTGCCTGTCCGCCCGTCCATCAGTGTGTCTGTCTGTCCATCCGTCCGTCAGTCCATCTGTCCATCCGTCCGTCAGTCAGCCTGTCTATACCTGCGGAATCACACAACAGGAGCAGGGCTCGAGGCACATACTGATATATTTGCTGTTTGGACAAGCCTTGGTCCTGTTGTGTGCTTCCGCTATTTCTAGCCGTGCAGAATTTTTTTATGGTTCTGCTATCTTGACCTGTACTGGTATGTCAGCATGTGAGAATCAAGCCTCTGCAAATGTCTGTCTGTCTGTCTGTCTGTGTAGGAGAAGCGCTTGGTTCACACCATAAGTCACCTGATTGGCGGCGGCTTGACTCAGTATCTACAGAGGAGCACACCGGAAATCGACTGGACACGGAGAAGCCTTGTTGGGTAGGATATTGTATGACTTGCCCATGCGGCATCCCTGTTCAGTGTTGGTGTATGACTTGCCCATGCGGCGGCATCCCCGTTCAGTGTTGGTGTTTGACTTGCCCATGCGGCATCCCCGTTCAGTGTTGGTGTATGACTTGCCCATGCGGCATCCCCGTTCAGTGTTGGTGTATGACTTGCCCATGCGGCATCCCCGTTCAGTGTTGGTGTATGACTTGCCCATGCGGCATCCCCGTTCAGTGTTGGTGTGTCACTGCATCACTGTATTGTGATAGCAACCTGCTATGTCGGCTAATGGAGAGGTCTTAGAACATGCCCGTATGTACATACAGCTGGTTGCCATCTAGCCTCTCAAATCCCTACCCTGTGCTGTAAACGTGTTTGCTAATGTCCTTGTACAGTGTACGGTTAGCGGCAGTTAGGCAACGAGACAAGCGAGAGTACAGCATGGAAGCAGAGGTTACGACCAATCCCATCCCGAGCCACATCAAAGAGATTGTAAGTCCCTTTTTGTAAGCGTATCATTGTGTTAACGGGCATCTCCATTTCTCAGGTTGACTGCATCTCAGCTCTAGCCAGCAATGCACGCACTTGCTCCTGGAAAATGCAGAAAACTACGTCAACCGCACACCATCTACTCCACGGAGGCAATGTGTGTTCTTCACGGTTTTAAATGCGCGCGTGTGTGTGTGTGTGTGTGTGTGTGTGTGTGTGTGTGTGTGTGTGTGTGTGTGGTGGTTTGTTTGTTAGTTGTTTGTTGGCATTTATGTATGTGTGAACGTGTGTGCAGGCATGCTCATGTATACCATAATATTATCGTAGTATTCGCCATAAATTTGCAGTTCTGTCTTGTTTTCGAAGAGAGTCACATGTAACATTACTAATTATAGGTTAGTGCATGGCAGGGAGGGCCTTATGGCTTGTTAGTGCCCGACAGGTTAGCCTGAGGGCCGAAGGCCCGAGGGCTACCCTGAAGGGCACAAACAAGCCATAAGACCCTCCCTGCCATGCACTAACTATTTTAGAACGAGGTTACATGCATTATCTCACTTCCATTATGCTTGTGTACCATTATATTGGGTAGTTTTGTTGTTTGTGTGCAGAGAGACTTGGTGTGGTATGAAAGAATATTTTCTTCTGTTTAGTTATAGTAACTCAGCACCACTTAGGACTACTAAAAGTAGAATAGCAGCAAATGAAATGCTGGGCTCTTATTGCGAGCTTCATTCTTATTCATAGCTTGTGGAGCTATTTAGGGGCTTTGAGGGCCCCTTGTCGATACCTCTAATGACTTTGATCTTCGGTTTTTATAGGTTTCCACAAGCTGTTGACAAAGGAAATTCGTACAGGTGAAAGAATACGGGAGGCAAAAACCATACACACTTCTGAAATGCGTAGCTTTTAGTAGTACACCGTACATTTTATGCAGAGTTCATTACCTGCACCGTACTATATAATGCATACAGGGAGGTGTACGCACCAGTTTAGAGTATATTCAGCGGGCTTTAAACTAATCCAAGGCCCTCGACGCGTCATCAAGAGTAGTAAAATTACGATTGAGCGGGCTTTAAACTCTGATAAGGCCCTTGGCGGGAATGTCGCCGATTGGTCGTTTCCTGGACAACGAGACAGACCTCGTTCTAAAGTTGGATACTGTAGTGGTATTCGAGACATGTACATGTACGGTTCTTCATTGTAGCAAAATGTCACATATGCATTTTAACTGTGTGTGGTGTGAAATGTCCCATATGCATTGCTGGACTGTGCGTGATGTGAAATGTAACATATGCATGGACTGTGTGTGTGGTGTGTGGTGTGTGGAAATTAACGCATATGCATTGCCGGACTGTGTGTGGTGTGTTTTTCAATTTAGTTTGCCAGTGGCTCAGGAATGCTGAACCTTGAAGTCTTCTTCATGCAGGAGCCCGGGTCAAAGACGATTGAAGGTGAGGGTAGGAAACTTGTTCTCTGTTCATACTAGTGCCGTGAAGTGGGTGATTCCACTTCCATCACTCATTTCACACCCTCATGTGATCAGCCCTTGGCATTGGCAGAGTTGCAACTTTCCAACAAGCCGTGCTACTTTGTGCACAGCGTGCCACGTATCAAAGATGAACGGCAGTCGTAACACCTTGGTCGATAAAATTACTTTGCTTCACCGTTGGTTAGTCACCTCAGACATGTGCAGCATACCTTTATGCACACGCCGTACGTAGCGGTGAAACTTTACGCTATGCGATGACGTTATCTATGCAACTCACACTCTGGGTGTGAGTAAAGTGCAAGTCAACCCAGGGCTGACTGACAAAAACAACCCTCAACTCATAATGGAGCCTCCAGTAAAAAGTAATGTTAGTCGGATTGGCATTAGTAGTCTCTAGTCGGTTAAAACAATATATAGTTTGAAGGAAGAGGCTGTCTTGTGTAAATCTTCAGTATCTGTCTCCAGGGAAAATAGAAGCGTCTTGCAAATCGACTGTTAGCACAACCAAGACTTATTAATTAAAGGGTTAGATTTTGCGAATTCATAGATTCCCTGCTGGGTGATGCATGTGTTTCTCGTGCTTCTTTGGCAGTTCCTATCTCTTTCAAGCCAACTGAGATCATGAATGATATCTTCCATTATTTCAAGACGGAAGCTGCAGCACATGATGCATCCAGGTACAGTGTTTCTTCAGTAAACTGTGTTGTATTCTTGTGTTAATTGTGTGTGTGTGTGTGTGTGTGTGTGTGTGTGCGTGCGTGCGTGCGTGCGTGCGTGCGTGCGTGCGTGCGTGCGTGCGTGCGTGCGCGCGCGCGTGCGTGTGTGTGTCAGTTACGACCCTTGAAAGCATTTTATTATCAACTTTCTACCAGGCTGGCAGGTGATCTGTGGTAAAGGAATTCTCATGCTTAGTTTCACTCACTTGGATTCAGGGTAATGTTGCTGCAGTTGAAGTAGCTACAGACCATGACTTTTACTGGATCTCATGAATCAAGGCCGTGTTTACTTATGCTTACATAAGAGTTTGCAATCCAAGTTTGAGGAATAAGTTTGGCATTTACGTGTGAAGACTTTTTTAAAGCGCCAGCAGACTCCTTTTATTACTTGTTTGTGCGGGGGGGGGGGGGGGCAGGGGTGAAATTAACCCGGGTTTAGCACCATGCGTTTAACGCTCCAGTCAATCTACTATGTATGATGGGCTCATCCCGGGTTGAAAACTCTCATGAAACACAGCCTTAGTGGTGACTTATGTACATACTGGTTACGTACACGAAAGCAATTCACTATTCATTGTGTGCTCTTTGCTCATGTGATGAACTGGCAGCTCCGCAAGTGATTACGTTCTGCGTGTGTGCGGTCAACGGGTGTTCATCCACGGTGACCACCTCTTTGTCAACTTCATCTATGTGCGAGAGTGAGTACTGGCGCAGGGATCACTGATGCTCGTACAATGCATGTGCGAGAGTGAGTACTGCCGCAGGGATCACTGATGCTCGTACAATGCATGTGCAGCATGACACAGTAGTGTACACTCTATCGCCAGGCACTCAGCTCAGAGTCCTTCTGGTTTGTTAGATGCTAGCTGTGAGGCAGTGGTAGAGAGCTATGAGGCAGTGGTAGAGAGCTATGAGGCAGTGGTAGAGAGCTATGAGGCAGTGGTAGAGAGCTATGAGAGGCACTATTGCTTCTATTAGAGAGCTATGAAGCTGCATGCATTTGTTAAGGCTGTGTATATTTCAACACGCCGCCACAATGGATTGTTCATGGACGTGTTATATTGTTAACACTTGTCTTGCTAACAGTGGTCATAGCCAGTGACCTGGGTGTTTGGGTAATTATGTGCCTTGTGACAAGGGTTGCTGCTTCATCCGGGTTACACAGTCAACTGTGCACGGATTGTTATTACCTGCTGATATAGTATCTTCATCATAGCGGCCTTGGAGCGGTGGCATCATTCACGATCCACAGCAAGAAGGCAGCAATGCCTGCACCTATGGTGAAGTGATAATTCTAAAGACAACCTAACATAACATATCTGCTGGGTGTATTTCTGCTGCAGGTGTCTGTCCAAGCATTTGCCAATCAAGCTGGCACTGGTGCCTGTGTTGGATGCCGAAAATGACGAGCCGGAGAGCTTTGGCGACGTAAGTGTGCATGCTGCTGCAATATGTTACAATTTTATCCTCTGCCTTGCTGCGGGTACACTGTTGTGCCTCTTTTCCTGCTCAAACTCTGCTCTGGTACACTGTATACAGTTTGCGTACCATGGCTATGTGCTGGTGCACTGGTATATCTGTGCGACTCTGCTATAATAGGGCTTGAAAGTGATGACGTCAAAAACGGCCAGGGAGTACTAAGTTGACATCAGATTTCTATTTTTGGATCCACTAAGGTGTGACTTTGCTATTGCCTAAGTATGTGGGTGCATAGCAACCCACTCATGTCGCATGCAGGTGTGACTTTTATTTCGCCACCAGTTGTAACCCCGCCCCCAGTAGCCAAATCAGTCAGTTTCACTGGCTACATCACCATTCTGTGGGTAAGACCGCTTGAAATGTGCTTGGATCCATACAAAAACTGGATCCAAGTGGATCCAGTTTTTGAATTTTTGAAATTGTTGCTATGCTGTGACGTAGCACTTTCAAGCCCTATTCCCTGTCACACTGCAAAACTCAATCATGATACTAGACACAGGTACTGTGTGAATGCAGCCCAGCAGTACCGGCTCCTTCAGCACAAGCATGCAGCCAAAGTCAGTGCCGCTCGGTCTGTTTTAGCTAAGGCCAGGGTGTATTCGACATGGTTCCTAGGTATGTACTATCTAGCTTCTACGTGCCTCCTGGTCATGATCATCCCTCGGCAGTATATGACTTCAAGACTGCTGGGTTCTGATTTGCACATCTGATCCTTCCTTCCTGTTTGGGCGTGTGTGTTTGGGTGTGTGTGTGTGTGTGTCCAGGAGGAATTCGTGGATGAGATGTGTGGTGTCTCCGCCAACCACTACCAATTGACCATGCTGAACAAGCCGCACGGAGAAGTCTTCAATATGTCCATGTGGGACATTGGACAGAACTTCAGGTTAGCTGTGATAATTGTGTTTGCTCCATTGTCTCTTTTCAACGTTGGCTGGCCCTTGAGGCTATTATAATTATTAAATGGTGGCAGTTGATAATGTATTGAATAAAGCAAACATTGGTGTGTGGCCTCTTATAGAGTGGTTTCGTTGGTTCCACTGCCCACGTGCCATGATTACTTTCTACGAAAATTAAGTCACATTGTGAAGATGTGAAACAGCTCTATACGTACACTCAGTCTTCCATCTTCTAGTGTGTTCTCTCCATCCACAGTGGCGTCAGTACTGCAATGCTTGTTGCTTTGACATCTGCATAGTTGAGCTCAACTCACATGATCTGTATATTCATATTGGGTGCATGTGTTGTCTGTCACCCTCTAGGCTGCCTTTTGCCGCACCGGTTGCACACTTAATTTAGTTGAGTGAAGAATAGAGAATGCTTTATTAAAGAATAGAATGAATCAATAGAACTGAATGGAACCGAAATGAAACGACAGAACGGAATGGAACGGAATGGAGCGATACAATGGAATTGAACCGAATAGATCCAAATGGAATCAAATTGAACGATAGAACGGAACCGAATGGAATGACTTTATCGAACTCCGAATGGCCTCTTTATACATAATCTGGTGCCTGCATAATAATGGGGAGGGGTCTATGTATATTAAAGTAAGGGCGGTTTCTAGCAATTCTAGGAAATGTACGCCTATCACATGGAAGTCACAATGTAAGTATGACACAACATAACCTTGAAGTGCAGCTGGAATACAACAGTATGTACCCAGGGTTCAACTTATAAGCACTACCATGACTACAGAGGGTCTAATATATCTTAGAGTGTTGTTTGTTGATATTTATTTTACTTCACCAAACATGTGCAGGCATTTTATGCCTTCAACAAAGTGTGATGCAACTTGAGGAGAGGGTTTAGATATCACTAATAATCTCACTACAACACAGTCATGTGTGTTTCTCAACTTTTCTGCTTGTACTCGAAGTACCTCGCAGTGCTCTATCATGTTGAGGTGCCTTCTTCCTAAATCGGAAATATCAATAAAAACCTGTGTCCACTCCGAGCGTTCATGATGACTTATGAGCACATTGCATTAATGTGTGTGTCCCTTGCATTGCGACCTTGTGTCTCAATTGCTCTATGCCTTGTTTTGGTGACTGTTGCGTGCAGAATACGCGTTCTGGGCCTGAGTCGGCTCACTCCCGGCGTACTCGGTCGTGGTGAGCGCATCGGCTCTGTGTATGTGGAGGCTGGCATCTATCATGGTGGCAGATCATTGGTCGCACACCAGCGCACCAGTGAGCTACCGTACCGCACCAATCCCAACTGGTACCAGTGGGTGGAGTTTGATCTGCCCACGCGACATCTGCCAAAGGTATGTTGCCCAGGCCCAACCAAGCTAGCTAGCTATCTTAGATTAATTTGCTATAATTCCTTGTCCACCATCGCAGCAGCCGCCGCCACCACCCCAGTACTGTATCAATACGACTCCAGTGTATGCCCAAATTGCTGCTGCATCCGTTGAATAATATTGACTGGTAGTTCGCTCCTGCTCTTGTACTCTCATGTGGGGCAGTGTCATTGCTGTTTGTGTTACGCAAAGCTCACTGACTTGTCAGTTTGAGCACTCTGGCAAGGCACGTCCAGACATGGTTAAGTCTGGCTTTGATCATTTTCATTGCTATCTGATGCGACTTCATTTTCCCTGTGCTGCCCTGACGAGTCCACAAAGGACGAAGCAGTTCTGTCTGTAGATTGAATAGTACTTACTACCATTGATATCTTACCCACTATTCACTATTCTACTGATGTGATCCAAGCCAAGCATTGCAAATTGTATGCAATTGGAGTGTGACAGGATGGTTCGCCTGATGTTTTTGTTCACTTTCAGGCTGCTCGCATTTGCTTTTCCGTAATGATGACGGTTGTGTCGAATCGTGGTCGTCAAGTTCGTGGTCCTGTTCCAATGTACTGGGTGAACATGAACGTCATCAATCACAGGTTAGTGGCGCTATGCATGTGCACAACCAAAGAAAGCTATGACGTATTACTGCCCCTTGCCTACAGCCATTTCCCCTTGCACCTGGTCTACCCATGCTGTGCTTGAAGTGTTTGGCACATCCGAGACCAGGCCGTATGGCTCTGAGTCTTACATATCCTACAGTGACTCTTGCATGAGTGTGATGCATAACCACTTTTTGCTTCACTCCCGTGACTAAGGCAGGATGAGCAAGCGCTTGCACGAGAGGAGAGAGAGAGAGAGAGAGAGAGAGAGAGAGAGAGAGAGAGAGAGAGAGAGAGAGAGAGAGAGAGAGAGAGAGAGAGACAGACAGACAGAGCCAGACAGAGACAGAGCCAGACAGAGAAGGACAGATAGAGACAGAGAAAGAGAGAGAGCCGGGGAGCCTGGGAGGTGGGTGGATGTAATGGTGTGGGCTGAAGGAGTGTTGGTGTGCGTGTGTATGGATGTGCCCCGCCGGTTTCTCAGGTCTCTACTACAGCAGGGTAACGTGGCGCTGTCCATGTGGCCGTGTTCCAGTACTTCACGCGAGAGCTCTATCCTGTCAGCCGACACATTCACTGACGGCGGAGCGCCTGGTGAGCTGGAGGAGAGCAATCGCAATAGCATCATGGCAATTGATGGCAGTGAGGCCAGTGTGTGTGGCATGCAACCAGCCGGTTCCAGTGCTGTCAACTCACAGTCGTTTGACTGTCCAACCCTGACCGTGGAGCTGGATAGTTATGCACACCCGGTGGCTTGTCCCAACTCTGGATGGCCTTGGTAAGCAGTGCTGGGTAGTCAACACTCAGTGATTTTGCACTGTTCTACATCTACCAGTGCCTACTGGGTGCTTGGATATTGTTCCGTACATACTCGTTGTCGGTGCCCAGGCGTGTGAAGTGGGTGATAGATGCCAAAGTCTAGGATGCAGTGCAATGCTATAGGATATGACTGTTATAGTTTGGTATGGCTCTGGGCAAGACTGCTACATGTACTTGTTATGATGTGCATGCGTGTTATGCCTTTAGTCTCAACCATTGCTGCAAGCTGGAATAGATTGTGGATCCGTCCAGTATTTCTTTCCATTGCAAGTCGATAGTTAAGGACCGAATTCATCTTAAGTGCGGAAGACTTTGTAGTGCGGGAGATGGGGTAAATATGCCAAAGACTGCCTATGTTCCAACAAACTAGGCATTGAATTCAATTGTGGATGAAAGTTTGAAGTGCTACCTCACTAAGTATTCTTTCTTTGTTTTCTGTATAATGAAATTTGTAGTACGTTGCCCCAGTCACCCAGTGAACCACCGCCTGGCTCTATTGAACAGTTAGAGAAAGTCACCTCAAGCAGTACATTCGTTGAAGTAAGTGACCTTGCTTGGCTCTAACTGGACAGCACCGCAATGTGAATGTGTCATCCCGAGTCTGTTAACCATATCCTATGTTTGTATGTCCACAACTACTCCTATAAGCAGATAATCTTGAAATCCTACCCGTCTGTCCTATGCTCTCCATGTCCACACGTGGCATTCTCCAACAGCCTCCCGAGCTAATGTGCATGCTGCATAGGCATAATTATAGAGGGGGGGAGGTATCTCCTGTTCCCATGCAACCTCTTTGTTGGAGCTGAGTGTCCGAAGTGCTGGTGAGGGTATAAAGAGATCATGCAGTATTGCCTAACTCCGTCACAGCATCTGTATTCTAGTTGGTCGACTAGTAGAGGTTCAGGAAGAGAGTAATCAACTTGCGATACACGAAAGGAGGCGGATCGATTTTGGAAAGTCTGCAGAATGCTGCTTGCATCAAAGTAGCAGAGCTCCTCCCTTTTCAAAATGGTTGTTGGCAGCCTTATACAGATCATGGTACGAGATGGTGAACCCTGGAAGTGAAGATTAATGCGACATTTCTCCGACAAGCAATTACAACTCTGGTCTTTTTATATTCTTGTTTATGCCTGGCAGATGAGTGATGAAGAGAAGAAACTAGTGTTTCATCATCGCGAGTTCCTCTCCAAGAATCCAAAGGTGAGTGTAGCTGTTTAGAATCTGCAAAGGATCACAACTGGAGGTCCTCAGCTACTTTTAGTAACAGGCGGTGGATACATCTAGTATGAACATTTTGCTCAATCTCCTGTTCCCTATGGTGGTTATGTGATTACATCATTACTGTTCCCTATGGTGGTTATGTGATTACATCATCTCATGTTCCCTATGGTGGTTATGTGAGTACATCATCTCCTGTTCCCTATGGTGGTTATGTGATTACATCATTACTGTTCCCTATGGTGGTTATGTGAGTGCATCATCAGTTGAGATGCGTTGGCAAAGTCGGGTACAGCGCTGCACTAGCGACTCACGCTCCATACATAGCGCCCATAAATGGTTCCAGTGTATACCTAGCAGCCACGGGTGGCTTCACTGTAAACTTAGCATCCACTGACGCTGACCCTCCCCCCCCCCCCCCCCGAGATCTTTCACATAACCTTTATAGATATGTTGCAAACCTGTCCAATACACTGGTGTGAAGTATAATTTGTGTTCAGTTCGAATCAATGACATGGTGCTATCTGCTGTGTTGCAGGCACTAGTCAAGTTCCTAGGGTCTATCGACTGGGCTGACCTGCAGCAAGTGCAGGAAGCGCATCGCCTCATTGCCAAGTGGACCAAGATTTCACCAGAGGTCTGTATACACTTCCCGCTGGCTAGGTTTACTAGTAATGGTCTGTGCTGGTATACCCCGGGTGCCGACAAGTGCTCGTGATAAGTCCCAACTATCAGCTATTCTGATTTACACCCTGAATGGCTTGCTATGCTCTATCCACAGGCACGATGATGTGTTCTATCCGTAATCAACACAGTGATGCCAACAGTGTGCATGAGCCCAGGACTCAGTCTTGGGCTCAGGTACCCATGGAGCTGATGTGCTAGTAGATGGACGATCTGTGCACTGGCAATTATGCATTAATGCGCTTCCGACAATTATGAAAAATGATCTCAGTGCCAGTTGCCATACATGTCTTCTTGATTGGAGTTGGCTTGGACTTTGTTAACTTTGTCAGAGGTTCCCTACAGGCTATCTTGGTTGACGTTACAAACCTAACATATTAATTGTGTGCTATTAACTTACGTTACATTCTCTTGTTGTGCTGCAGGACGCATTGGAGCTGTTGGATTTCCAATTTGCAGACAAGGTTGTGCGCACAGTGGCCGTGTCTTGCTTGGAGTCTCTGTCCAACATGCAGCTTGTGGCGTATCTCCTACAACTTGTTCAGGTATTGGACTTGTTCAGGTATTGGACTTGTTCAGGTATTGGACTTGTTCAGGTATTGGACTTGTTCAGGTATTGGACTTGTTCAGGTATTGGACTTGTTCAGGTATTTGACTTGTTCAGGTATTGGACTTGTTCAGGTATTGGACTTGTTCAGGTATTGGACTTGCTTCAACTGGAAAGTTATCATTGTATCTTTAACATTGTTACTGAGATGCACAAACCTACAAAATTTCAAAGAAGAGGACAAGCAACAAGTAGGTTAGTAGAGGCTATCCGGCTGTGCTGACAAGGACCTTAGGTAGGCCATGCTTAGGCGACAGATCATCTTGCCTTCAATACTAGGTCTAGACATTGAGGAAACCACTAAGAGTTGAAGAGCCAATGGTGCGTATTGCATTGAAAAAACTGACCACCATACCATGCAGTGTACGGTGCCCATCTCGAGCTGATGAGCTGGTCTTTTAGAGCTAGGCTGGGCCGGTAATGGCCAGACTGTGCTGCTGTTGCACCGCAGGTTTGTGTATATTTCATACACTGCATCGCCACGGTATGTGCAAAATCAGCCCATACAGTGGAGCAGTGTGTGATGAAAGTTGGTATCTGACTGATGGTCTATGGCCCTTCGTTTTGACTTGCTTCGGTTCCTGTTGGTGCAGGTGTTGAAGTTTGAAGCTTACCATGACAATGCTCTGGCTCGGTTTCTGCTGAAGAGAGCACTCAGCAGCAAACATATTGGCCACTTCTTCTTCTGGTAAGGAACTTGTGACTGCCAGTCGGATTTTTTGGATTCAGATTGAGGAAAGTTTTCGCTGTGTGATTACGCGCTTGTTAGAAAGTGCACGCTATGCGCTCGCGAGAAGTACAGTTTTATCCTTGATTGATGTACATGTACCTGTATTTCCTGCTGCAGGTACCTTCGTGCTGAAATGGACAGGCCTGACTTTCGGCAGCGCTACAGCTTGCTGCTCGAGGCCTACCTCAGAGGCTGTGGCAAGTCTATGTTGGTAAGAGCAGCAGGAATTGCACCCTACCTTACCATGGTCTGTGTGTCACCGTGTGCTCTCAAATGTAGTGTGGCACCTGGTCGGGAGGCTTGCTGTTGAATTTGACACTGATGTGTGTATGTCTCATGTGTGCTGTGCCTGTGCATATTACGGTGGTATGTGTGCGTGTGTGCTGCTTTGCACATGCAATGTTGCGCTATTACAGGCACAGTTCCAGAAGCAGAATGCTGCCATGATTGGCCTGAATGAGGTTGCTCGTCGTGTAAGTTCTATTGTGCTCGGAACCATTTTCATGTTGTTAGTGTTTGGTTGGAACTGGGAATGCCTTTCATGGGATACCATTGGTGGATGTCGGTGTGTGTGTGTGTGTGTGTGTGTGTGTGTGTGTGTGTGTGTGTGTGTGTGTGTGTGTGTGTGGGTGCGTGCGTGCGTGCGTGCGTGCGTGCGTGGGTGCGTGCGTGTGTGGAGGGGGGAGGGGGGGGGGGTGGTCCTGGTTTCACCATGACCCTGTACTGCAAGGGCGGTTGGAAGAATAAGATATGGCTTTTCCTGACCCTGCACACCATTTCTGTCTACAGCCCCAATGAGTTTTGATCTGAGTCGCAATCACCATCTTAGCCTTTCCTCTACATAGCTAAGTTTATACAGCACAGACCTTGCGCCACATCTACAAGCCATCTGCATGAATAGAGAGAATTGTATCTACCCCCCCCCCCCCCCCCACTTATAATGCCAATAATGCTGGCTTACGTTTCAAGTTGTGTGCACATGTTTGTCTGGCTCTTCGACTGCTCCACTCTCGCAGGTGAAGTTTGCAGAAAGTCGTAACGAGCATGGTCCACCGCTCAGCCAGCTTCTCACTGAAGCCGACCTGCCAAGAGGGTTTGCACCAGCTTTCAACTGCAGGTTAGCGCCAAGCACTTAGTTGAAATATAGCACATTTGTTTTGGCTGGATCTCCACCAAAAGCAGCTGCAGGGAGAAGCGGGAAATGGTGACTGAAAGCAGCCACGACACCAGCAAAATGTGATGGAGCCAATTTGATCAGACCTGGGATAAATATTGATGAATTGATCATTACTTCGTGGCTGCACAAAGTTGTAAATGCAGTGACACGCAGTGCTTTGACGTGATGCTCTGTATCAACCAGTGTGAAGTGTCCTGTAGCTGCTGGCAAATCACCATGCATTTAGTATGGTTGTGTGCTGTGCTGTGGATTACTGGCTGTGCAATACAGCATGCTGAGAGAATAGTGTACACACTGTACAGGGGTGTCACACACCGTACGACCAGTGCAACCATAGTCGTACCACTTTCCGTCCAGTATGGTCCACCCAGAGCGCCTGTAGAGCGCTAAAATGTGGCCACAAAATCCAATTTCCCCCAGGGGACCCCCCCCCCCCCGAACCCCGGTTGTACCACTGCCCTGTGATGCCCATGTAAGTCATGTGTTTCTGATATATCCGTGTTTTGTGAACCCATTTGTCCCCATCCAGCATTATACTTGGCAAGCTTGACGTGGATGCGTGCAAGGTGATGAGTTCCAAGAAGGTATGGTGACGAGTGCAGCACTAGGTAGTGTTTGATTGTAGGATGTGTATTCGTGTAATGTAGCCAACATTCAGATTATAGGAAGTTGTGAGTGAAAAAAACAATGAATAATCGTGATGGATAGTGCTGTGCCATGTTGTATAGTGGATAAGACTTGGGACCCCACAGGTGTGTTGTTGCCTTGCCCACAATCACTTGTGGTGATTATTATCTAACTAATGTTACTAATGTACCATGAGGACACGGAAAGAGCTGGTACTTAAATGCACCACAGCGTGTTGAAAACCTCCAGTTGTCCCTCAGACCAGCTGCACTATTATCACAAAGCAGACTGCGGAACCGTTGTTTTAATGTACCTCTGGGGACCATAGCAATCTGTACTTTGTACTCGAGATGATGATCTTAGTGAGTACAGAAGTCTGTGGAGAAAGTAGCCGGAGCGGCGGGTCTGCCAAGACTTCAGCATAATAGTTAATAATAGTTTTGGGTGCATAGAGTGGTTTTTGCCTAGCACTTTTGTCATTTATGTGTGTGAATTGTTCCACTAGCCAGTACACATGTAGTTGGTTGGTGATGTTGATGATTGTGTATACTGTGTGCCTGCAGAAACCTCTTTGGCTGGAGTTCTTGACGGAAGAAGCTGCCAGGGGCTGTCGCCAGATCAAGCAGGTCATCTTCAAGCAAGGTGATGATCTACGTCAGGATATGCTGACACTGCAAGTGTTGCGTCTAATGGACTTGGTAAGGAAGCTAGGGCATGTGCCCTGGTGCTGTCTGGAATCATATCAATATTTCTCCGATAGGTTGAGGCCGAAGATAGGAAGAGGAGGACTTGAATCCGAAAAGTTCTCGGTTCGTGTGAGACTTAGTCTTTAGACAGAGTTTTACACATCCGTAGGAATGCCACCACCCCCCAAGGATCAAGGCACAGATGCAGCACCTAAAGCGGTGGGAGGTGAGCAGATCAGACCCACCCGGTAAAGAGGTGAAACCTAGTGCAGTCTGTATCGCTTCTACAAAACTTTAACCATCTGAGGGCACCCTCTGTTTCTTAGTCATGGTGTTAGACCATGCCACTATGTGACCACCCACTAATGAGACTGTGTGTGTGTGTGTATGCGTTTCTGTGTGTACATGCACACGTGTATTGCCACAGCTATGGCAGAATGACGGCCTGGACCTTTACATGATCCCTTATGGGTGTGTAGCCACAGGTCTGAACAGTGGTATGATTGAAGTCGTTGGCAATGCACAGACTATAGCCAAGGTTAGTTGTCTTGCAGTTATGCCGGTATGCATTACATGGACAATCTCTTACACAGACGTGTGTGTTTGGGGGTGGGGGAGGGGGCATATATGTGTGTCTGTGTATCTGTGTGTGCTTGTGCCTGTGTTCTTGCGTGCATGCACACCTACGTGCGTGTTGGGTTGACGGTACTGGCCCTTGCTGTTGTCTGTGTTTTCCGTTGTTTTTCCTAGCCATGTACATATGAGCCAGGACAGGGTGCATATTTATGTACATGATTGAAGTATATGTACACCTCCCCCCCCCCCCCCCCGTCATTGATGCAAGCACTAGTACCCGGTACTAGTAGTGCACCCCGGACTGACATCAGTCCACTAGTCCCGCACCCCACCGGACTGACAGCAGTGGCATCTAGCATGTACCTGCGAAGAACTCAGCTCCTTGGTGTTTTCGTATCAAGTCAGTATGAAATCATTTCCTAACCTGCATTTGTGACCACTATTGTATGTTGACCATTGATATGCTGTGTGCTGTGTGCTGTGTGCTGACCATGGATATGCTGTGTGTTGTGTGCTGTGTGTTTACCATGCCGGCCTTCACTGTAGATTCAACAAGAGGAAGGTGGTGGCATTCTCTTGCCCAAAGGCTTCGCTCCGTTCAAGAAGGAAACCGTCTTCAACTGGCTGAAGAAGATGAACCCAAGGTAAGAGGCCTACTCGCTGAAGTGATTTCACAGTTGTGCTGATGCTTTCCGCTTAGTGAGAGTTTAAGATATCTGCAAACAAATGTTTGTCATCCACGTGATCCTGTTTCGAGTCCTTCCTGGGAACTGTTTTTCCAGCCGTGCTGCCACCCACGGTCAACTGCGAACTTGCGGCCAGACACAAGGGGTACATGGATGCGGCTGATGGGGCTTTCGGCATGTGTGCCACTGGTCGCAAGACTTATCCCTCGCCCCATCTGCCACTGGGTCATTCCGGGTGTCAGCGGTCGTTGTGAGTTCCCATGGGGAACAAAGACTAAAATGTACTCTCTTTTTACGTGAGGCTGAATGTCGGATTTGCGTGACCATACTGTTCACCTTGCGACTTGCTTTTATTCGCTTCAGCCAAGAAGACCTGGACAAAGCCGTGGAGAAGTTCACACTATCCTGCGCTGGCTATTGCGTTGCTACCTACGTACTGGTAAGTGGAAGCAGCCATCCATACACCGTTGATTGTACTTGCCTGGGGGATGCTATTGGGTACTGTATTTTCTGGAGAATAAGCCACGGCTAACTTAGAGTACAAGCCGCACCCAGATTTTTTGTCACGAAATACAGACATCTACTCTGTCTATCATTGTCACTACTCTGTCTATCATTGTCACTACTCTGTCTATCATTGTTCATTTGACCATCGTAGTATAAGCCGCATTGACCTTTTTTTGGGGGGGGGGGGATTACTGGTGTTTATAGTGCGGCTTTTACTCCGGAAAATACGGCACCTTTCTGCTGCTTATGTACGGTTGGTACAATTGTTTCCGACTGCTAGTGCTTGCAGTTGCGTTACTTTTGCTTGAAAACCATTAAGGTGAACCTTCTGGGCTATCTCTCTGATACTGTGGTGCTTCAGGGCATCGGCGATCGGCACAACGACAACATCATGCTGACCAGGGACGGCAACCTGTTCCACATTGACTTTGGCCACTTCCTGGGCAACATCAAGTACTTCAATGTGGTAAGAGCTGAACTGCTGGAACATGCACCTCTAGTACAATGGGACAACTGTAATACCCACATTCAGTTCTGCATTCAAGAACTGACGCACATTTTTGATGTACAGATCAAACCTGGTCAAGAGGCCAGCTGCTTTCAACAACCATCTGGTCTGTAAGATCGCTATCAAACATAGTCTGTGGTAACAAGTGTGTGGAATGTGCGATGGTCACCTTGTTTTCAGAGACTCCCTACATCGGCAAGACCACCCCAGACCAGCAGCCTAGTATGACTGTTTGCTGAAATCAGGTTTTGCCCAGTGATTACTATGGCGACGGAAAGCGGCTGGGTACACAGTGTAGGTGTAGTACACAGTAAGCTGGGTACACAGTATAGTAAGTTAGAAGAAGGCCATTGGCAAGTAATCTGCTCGGTCTGATGTGCGATTAATATTGGAGACTGAGATGTTGGTCATGGTTTGCTTGGTTCTGCTGGCTCATTTCTTTTTCAGCTCGGCAAGAAAGTGAAAAGAGAGCGACTGCCGTTCATTCTCACTCCCGACTTCATCTACGTGATGAACAGCAATAAGGTATGACACATCTGAGCAGCAACAGCACTGTGCCGTGTGTGCCTGTGTGTGATGAACAGGATTTGTCTGACTGAGGAGTCTACGATATTAGAGTGATCTTGCGGTCAAGCTTTTCGGACCATCCTCAAATGCCTAGCAATACGGGCGGGCCAACATAAGGGGTCGTAACAGCCTTTTTTTGTCGTTTCAGAAATGTACTCTGACCTCCCCCCCCCCCCCCCTGGTTCGGAAATGAACGCAGTTTACTTTGCTAGATGACACAAGTCACAAAGTCACATATGTACACGTACATTGTCGATTGACTTACGTATTCCCCCCCCCCCCCCCCCCCCTCAAATGGACGGTGTTTGTTTCAGGGACGACAACAACAAAATACTGCCACAACCCAAGGAGAAAGAAGCGTGAATCTGTGAGGAACGCAAAAAGAGAAGAAAAAAGAAGCGTGCCCCCTGTGAGGATCGAACTCACGACCTTCAGATTATGAGACTGACGCGCTGCCTACTGCGCTAAGGAGGCAGATATTGAAAGACAGATAGCATTATGACTAAGAGCCCTGCAGATAGGCGTGATGTTACCCCTGATCCTGTGCTTATGCGGAGAATGAAGGAAGATTGCCTTGTGTAAACCTAAACATGCTACTAGGTGCTACGGTCACTGAAAGACTCGAGGCACTCAGCATGCGCCGGCGTTGGATGCAGCAAACATGGCTGGGATTCGTAAGCCCTTACCAATTCCGTAGGAAGCACATGCAGGAAGCTACTCCTATCGCTAAGACTACTGGGTACCTGTGCACTGTAGAAACAGGAAGGGCATCAACTCACATCGATTGCATTGAATTGCTCTGATATTGACACGATTGTGCGATTGTGCAACACTATCTTTGTTTTGTGCAGGAAAATGAACTGTTCCCATTGTTCCAGAGGACATGTGCCCGTGCATTTAACATCCTTCGACGGCACGCCAACGTGCTGATCAACTTGTTTGCCATGGTGAGTGAGCTTGCCTGATCTCCTTTAAACCGGTTATAGGCGCTTGCCGTCTATGAACCAATGAAGAGATGCTATCAGTGCATCGGGATTCTCAGTCTGTGTGCTGCGTAGATCAGTCAGTTAGTCCTGGGTCACTTTACCAATCACATGTGTGGTCATTGCTGCATACCTCCTTCTTTTGGGTCTGTGACATACGTTTTTAATTAAATAGCTCCAGCTGTCGTCGGGGCGCTGTAGGATACATTGCATTTGTGACACGCTGATTTTCTCTCTCCCTCTTTCTCCTTTTCTCAATCTTCTGTCTACATGTACATGTATCTGACTCTCTTTGACTCTCTCTCTCTCTCTCTCTCTCTCTCTCTCTCTCCCTCTCCCTCTCTCTCTCTCTCCTGCTTCAGATGAAGCTCACCGGTATACCAGAACTGCGAGGTACAGAGGACCTCTCCTATCTTCATCAAGTACTTCGACCGGAATCGACTGACACTGAGGCTGAGCGATGGTTCTCCAGTCTCATTGAGGAGTGCCGCGCCAACAGTGACAGTGTGCAGGCTAACTGGGCGCTGCACATCATCGGGCAGCAACTTGCAGCCAAGACGTAGCAATGCTGCTGGGACCAATGCTTGGCTGGCTGCAAGTGCAACCTCCATAACGCAGTGCGAGACAGCACTGCGCTGGTGTCCATCGAGAGTAGTAGCACTCTCCACCTGCCAGATTGCAGGACATTCTGATTCACGGTGGTACTGCTACCTACTAAATCACGTATCAACCAATTTGGCCATGCGTTGGTGCAGTCACTTGGCCTAGCATCATGTTACAATGTTGCTTTGTATTCATATTTTCTAAATTCAATAATCATTAGGTATGAAATTTGCACAGGTGTGTGCTGGTAAATATATAGAATTTGCGTATTCTGGGAAGGATACTAATTTTTGATATGAGGACAATATGTTCCACATTGATCACAATCTACGACTTTGCAGTTTTACGCTTATATTTCTTTGCAAGCTTCACTTTGAACTAGCCAATATTTTTAAATACTTCAGTCCCAGTGCCAGCTGACATGCGCTCGGCAGTCAACCAGCTGATATATATTTATAGATGTACGCAGGTTGTTTGTACTCGTTGTCAGTGTTTGAGTAACCGCAGGCTAGCAACAATGTGCCCGGCCCGGCCCGGGTTTAGCTGTGCCCGGCCCGGCCCGGGTTTAGCTGTGCCCGGCCCGGCCCGGGTTTAGGCCCGGTGTTTTCTAATAGTGACTTGTTGGTCAACATCGTGTAACCGCTTTGGACACTTAGGAGAACGTATAATTGTATTTCCATGCTCACAGTGGCACGGAATGAACTGGAAGAGCTCCTCAGATTATCACGCAGTGGCTTTTTTTAGTAGTAACCGTTTACTCCGATGATGCCCAGACAGCCAATTAGTTGGTGATTCCTGCTATAATATACTGTATCTGTTGTCATCTTTTTTCCAAAGCTATTTTTCTTGATCTTTGAGCCAGCTCTTACCCAATGCGATCGCCTTATTAGCAATGCCCTATGAACAATGACGTGCAGCAAATACAGAGTAAGCATACTCTAATCATTATGAAGCCGTGATAACCATGATAACGCCGTATGCTGTACCTTCTAAGAATCGTGTCCCTTTTGTGAAGAGCACTGTGTATTGTGCATGCAGAGGTCACTGGTGTGTCTCGTGTATGCATATGCTGGGCCAAAATGTACTTGCAATGTACATGTCAGTGTCTGCTCCAGCGCCGGGTGAGTGGGTGAGCCGGGTAATCCACCGGGTTGGGTGGCGCTTGGACCCGGTTGAAAATATAGTACCGGGTCACCTGTGACCCGGTTGGTACTTTACACTTTCGAACTTTGAAAGGACTGACTAGACTACATGCCTTGTATGTGTCAGATACTTCTTCTTCTTTCGTAATTTTCTAATTCCTGTCCTCTCTTTTCTAAATGCGGCTTATCCATTCGCCTTTATATCATTGGGCCTAGTTCCCGTTTCTTGTCCGAATTAAAATAAACCAACCAACCAGTGTTAAAGCATGTGACTCGGCTGGTGAGACAGCGCCAGGTACATGTGTACCCGTCTCCGGCCCGGTTGAAATGGTTGCGCCAGGTACACATGTCCCCGGCTGTCCTACAATCCTAGAGCAGACACTGCATGTAGCTACTGTAGCATGATAGTGTCTTGTGAAGATGTTGACAGTACAGCCAGTGTGAATTTTCAACAGCCTGTTTTCAGCAGTTGGGTTTCAAAGGTGGCAAGACTGCTGTTTTTATTTGGGGTGTGTTGTCGAACTGCATGTGTGGATGCATGATTGTACTCTTGCGATCTTGGTCACACTCAATAATAATAATAAGAATTGTTATTACTTCAAGAAACTCAAGCCCAGTGAACAGTCATACTGCTCTGGACTGTATGGTATACTAGTACAATGTAGCAAGGATTCAAGCCGGTTCAAGGGACTGGACAAGCACCCAGGCACCATTCCCAGGCACTCAGTCGATCACGTGTCAACAAGATCCAGGTATGCTGGATGCCGAGCTACTTGCCCGCTCCTTGTTGGGTGCTGCTGTGCGGGCACACGGTGTCGTTTGTCCTCGCCAAAAGTAGCCCTATTCTGAGGCCAGTGGTTGGTCACACGAGGACTGGTGCCGGGTGTGTGTGATGTGCTAGCAATGCTTGCTGGAAGTCCATCTTTCATCCGGCACACTCCGGGCACAGAGACCTGGTTGCTACCGTCCAAAGCCTGAGCAGTGGCCAGCGAGTCCAGCGATCTCGAGGTACTGATCGGATTTTCGACAATTTCCAGGTATGCTGGCCGCTTATCCATGTTATCTATGTGCCTGCCCTTACTTGCTGGATACTGTCGCGGCGCCTCCCCAGCAGTCACACCGTGATTCTCAGGCAAGTGGTCGACGACTGGTCTGGTCATACGGCCAGCCATCTGATCAATCACATGGTGGGTATGGGGTATGTATGCTGATGTGCTGGCATTGGACGTTGGTTCACCGACGGCAAGATCCAGATATGTAGGCTGCTGCCGGCCTGCTGCAGGTCTTATCCAACTAGACAGACTCGGAGGCTGCCGTTGCGGTTCACCCGCTCTGTCCTCGGCAATCTCAGCGTATTGTGGTTCTCTGCCACTTGGCTGAACATACACACGGTCGGCAGGCTCATCGCCAGCGCTATTATTTCCCCGCTGCAGCCTGCGGTTCTCATTATCCCTATCAGTGGAAGCAAGCCTCCCCTCAATGATCGTTGCTGACAACGCCGGCTCGCTGAAACGCTTTAACTCTGACCTGCACGTGCCGGGGGATTCCCCTGTACCCTGAGGCAACGACTGCATACGATCCATTCTTGGCTGCGCAATCACGTGATATTCCTTTCGTGGCAGCGGCGGTGGTGGTGTTTGCTGGCCGACTGTAGAAAGGTTTGTGAAGCTGCCTGAGTTGGATCCGTGCAGCTTAGAGGCATTCAGACTATCGTTTGCTGCACGTTTGAGCGGCAATGCTGGTGCTTCAAAAGAGCCAGTATTCATTGGCTCACTACATGACAGATTTTGATCAGGAATGGAGACGTGGAGCACTGGCCCAGATATGGGCGCACCAACATCAGAAACAGCAGGAGAGCATGTTCTCCATACTGCGGAGTCCGAAGAGTTGGGCACAGGTGGTACCGGCCTAGAAGTAATCATGCCAATATTGGGAGCAGCAGGAGAGGAACATCTCTGCACTGTGGACTCTGAAGCTACTGCCTCTGCAGATAAGTTAGAGCTAGTTCTGTCAACGCTACCACTGTTTGAACTTGTAGTCTCTGTTCTCGGCGCTAACCTTGCACTCAGCTGCTTCGTGATGGCTGTGTCACAGACATACAAATCCCTGGAGGATGTCAAAAGCCCAGGGCTGCGCAGGAGCAGCAGTGACAAGGCTCTACTGGCGGCACAGTACGGTGACGCCATATCCAGCTCAGACTCAGCTACTCTCGTCACCGCCAGTGATACGTCCTCTCCCAACAGAACACAGTGGTAGTCCAGCGATGCCAGGAACATTGGTTTCTTGCACACACCAAACGCCTCCAGTGGCAAGAACTTCCGTAGGTGACCTTCGCCATCCTCGTGCTGATCAGGCTCGTGGAGGAGAGGTAGGTTGACATTCTGCTCGGCTGGGATCGCTCTGACTCGCAGCTTCGACGACATGCCACTGTTTGCTAACGTGGTCATGATGCCTATGAGGTCCTGGCCTGTGTGATAGGATACATTGCAAGCAACATGCAGGGTACCCAGGCAACCGTCCAGCTCCAGACTAACTTTCTCCAGACATAGGTGGCCTGAAGCAAGCTTCACGTGCCATGCTGCAACACGCTCCGTGCTCCTGTCTGCCGCCACACCTGGCCATGGTGATGCATACGCTGAACCGCAGCTCGCCATCACAATGTACTCTTCCACGTTGCGACATGCAGCATGCGCACTATGCGCACTATGCGCCCTGTTTGAGCTGCTTGAAACGGTGACGTGAGGCCGGGCAGTTGCGGACCCTTGGCCTTGGCCTTGGGCCTGGAATCTCACAGCATGACGTGCTAAATCGCCGTCCAGTGAGGCAAGAAGGTGTCGCAAAGTCGAATGGACAGTTGAGTCGTAGCAATACGGGCTGGACAGATCCTCTAAACTCTCTCTGCTCATCAGGGTTTGCAGCGGGCTGTGGCCGGAGGATCGTTTCCGCCCGGAAGCTGCAAAACTGCCCGTTCCAGTCAACACTCGTTCGAACAACACCGTCCCATCTGTCCCGCTGATCAGTGCAGTGGGTCCTGAGTAGTCGGCACTACATGTACATCTACTACTACTAATACTAGCAGCAGTGCCCGCGACAACACTGCACGTTGTGATTTCCGAACCGCCGCTGGTTGGTCTGAGCATCTCTGTGGCCGACGCCGGAAGAGGCCGATCAACCGGATTGCGCAGACACACGGCGGGACACTGAACAACTCCATGCACAAACAGGACAGCGGCCGCATCTTTGCCGAGCGCCGGGGACTTCGTGAGCGCCACCCTACTTGACGCTGCTGGGCCTGCACGAGGCTGTAGGTAAAAGGCCAGTGGCCAGTTAGCCTGGAGTCGCTCTTCTCGCAGGGCGTCACATAGATTCAGCGATGCCGATTCGCGCTGTCGTTTGCCTCTCACCTTCACTATTGGCATGGCTTTGATGTAGGCTTGCAGTTGACTAGATTACACAACCGTGAACATCAAAACGATCATCGGCTGTACCATCAGCCGATCGGCGACGTGTCGATGTGGTAACGTGGTTAGTGGCGAACTCACGACCTCGGCTACAAAGACAAGCATCCGAGTCGGAGGGACATTAGCTCCAAAAGACCAACACGTCATTTGAATGTTGAAGGCAAGTGGCGGTGATCCGCGTAGAGCTAGCCTACATAGTACATGACTGAACTCACTGGCTGTCCGTCCCGCAAGCAGTGCTAGTGCAGCAACGACGATTTACCAGCAGCACTGCAGCTGCAGGCTTTCACTGTCACACTGATCCAGAAATGAGTGCTTGCATGCAGCTAGTAGTAGTACTAAGTAGTAGATGTACTAGACCTACTACTAGGTATTCAATGTATTACTTGTAGTTCAATAGTTGGACGATTGGCTACTAGTACGGTACTAGTGTGACGAAATACCTGCTACTACATGTAGTAGTCCTTGATTCAGTCTGGAGTAGATCTAACTAGCGCGAGTTTGACGCTGTAACGTGCGTAGATCTACCGCCCGGACTCCCCAGTTCGGTGTTAGAGATAACGTAGCCAGAAGGCCCAGAACCCACGACATACTGTATCGACATGTACAAGTCTGCGGAGTCAACGACCGAACACCATCGGACATGGCCCGATCGCGCGATCACGCTCACTCTCCTTTTCAGTATCCCTGGAAAAAGACATGTGTGACCACATTTCCCAACCAAGATCTGAGTGACCTGTCCTTGATGACAGTTTGGTCCAGACCAGACAGAAACTAGACTTCCGTTCTCTAAATGTAGTTCTTGTTCTTGTACAGTTAACCCTTTGGAGTCCATGGTTCGATTTCGAACCATGGGCATTTTGTATGCATGTGGGCGCAGTCAAACTTTCGGTTCTCGGCCAAATCCTGACCAAATTCAACAATCGAAGGGTCTAAATGGTAGAGAAAACTCTCAGCTGTTGCCTCAAACTGGTCCGAAGTCTCTGTGGTGAAGTTTGAGTGAGCGGCGAGCGATCAAACATTTCCAATTTTTTGCGCTGTTTGCTGCGAGTCACCAGTGCGTGAAAAAAAGGGATTTTCCCAGCTTCATGACAAGCGGCACATGCCAGGACCGGCACGGCGCAAAGTCACGGCAAGGTAAGCTTCTACTCGAAAAAATTTGAACAGTTCCGAGCTAGATTCAGTGAAATGGCTACAGGAGACCGATTTCGTCTCAGATCTGGAGCTGGACTCGCGTTTGGGGCAAGTTGTGGCGGACAATGAACAGTGCTCTTGGCGAGTTTAGGCTCATTGTATTTCCCTCATCAAGAGCTTTCCAACGAGCCCAAGATCTTCAAAATCGGTGAAGTAGAACCAAAGTTATGTTGGAAATGGAGTGCGCATTTTCGTGACTGTCACAAATTCTGCGGAA